CGTTAATAATTGGACTTACGCTAACCTGACTAATTACTAGATAAATAGATGAGTAAGAAGCGAAGGATTTCAGCGACTGGGAAAACTGCGCCGCTGCAAGCTTCTACGAGAACACGCAGTCGCGTTTATTATCTGGAGGCGCTTATGCGCGCAGTGCAACGCAGATCGATGAGATCAGCTCCACGCTGAAGTACTGTGTTAAATGAATTCTCGGCTATCCGGGAGACGCCGCGTCGTTGGCTGGGGTGCCGACGTTTCGCCGGACATCTTGCAGGCTGCCTTAGGGCAGTGAGGTCCCGTCACTGCCCTGAGGAAGCCTGCGACATGTCAGGCGAACGTCGGCACCCCAGCCAACGACGCAGCGTCTCCCGGATAGCCGCGGAAGCTTACGTACACAGAAGTACTGTGTTGTCTGTTTGGTTAGATGGACGCGTTTCGCAACTCTTCTCCAAACAAACTGGTTGGAATTACCCACTTCCAGTTTGTAAGTGAGTGAACAGATGTTATGAAGACCTATGCACATTTTGAAGTTTCTTAAAATAATATTTATTGAGTTTGGTTTTAAACTTTTTGCTCTTCTGACGACGTATTTTGTTTATTTTCTAAAGTTATCGTTGTCCGATGCCCGAGGTCTAGAAAGTTTTCCATTGACACTTCTCCAACATAACCTATATTGCCCCGAGTTTGTTTTTAACTTGGCACCACACGGGTTTTCAACGCTACTGACTTCTAAAAAAGAACACTAAAACGGGTTACAAACGCACAGAATTGACCTCCCACTACTTCTTTCTCTGTTCTGGCTTACAGGGTCAAGTAATAAGTTAGAAGTTTTTGAGTAATAAGTTAGGTTATTTGTCATTTCTAACAATAGTTAACTGAATATTTAAAAGTTATTACAAACTATTGTATTCTACCAGCTGAGATTGCTCCAAACTTCTTTAGATTAAAACGTTTCTCCAGTAGCTTATTTACTGTCCCAATAGATAACTTCACAGCCTGTGGAAATTCCTTCCGCTTCTGCTACTATTTTCTCTCAGTTATGGCTATTATACTCAAACGCTTCTACAATAACTTGTAAATGGTTAACATTTCAAATCAATTACAATTAATTGCAATTTCTGACACTGCACAGAACTGCCTTTCGAAACGAATCATTCGACACCTCTGGTGAAATTTAGCCCTTGAAGCGTGCTCCATGAGAAGGATATATAGCCGCCATAATTCCAGCTTTTGAGCTTGGTAGGTTTCATCTATGATCATGAATCAATTGATGAATAGGTGAAAAGGATCAAACGAATGATTATGGAATAACGGTTGAATGAGCGGGGGAGAAAACGGGAGTACAAAATCTGCTATGAACTCGCCTTCTCTACCACAAATACCTTATTTCAGCCCTGCGAGTTGAACCCCACAACCCAAAAAGAGAACGATACTGGGCCGACCGTTTCTCACCAATGTCTGGAGCATAATGCAAGGAGGAAGTAACATTATGCGGTTACCAGCAGTGCAACCTGGAAGTACTTACGAACCGTTTGACATAAATTAGTGTGAATTTCAAAAGAGGACAGAGTAGGTATTCTCTTATTCTCTAATTGAAACATTGAAGTACAAATTTAAGGTAACTGTCCATCGCTCCATCGTTGAGTGGTTTCACGAACTGACTTGAGTTTCACTGTGTGTATTATATTCGCATCTCGCATTCATTTTATTTATGTTGCGTTGAATGTTCCGCTTGGAAAACTGCCTTCAACCGAGGATTGTCAGTCGAAACTTAATGGAAGCGCCCCTCTCTCCGCATTCTCTAGGAGAGGCTACTTGAGGCTAAAGAAAAACCAAGTGATGCCATGCAATTTCCGCACAAATGCGTAACGCAATTGTTTTGGATGTCCATCAAATGTCACTGCAACAGAAGGCATGGAGACATCGTTTTAAGTATCGAAGGAGAAGTTTCCCCACGGAAATAGACGGGTATAGAGAGAAGAGAGCTGCCAATTATTTTAGCATTAGAATGTTTTTTCTAGACCATTCATCAATAATAACTACCTTCGGGGAAACGATATCTGCAATATTATAGACATACTGAATAGGAAATACCCTTAAAAGAGGAGCTTTTTTTGTGCAACGTATAGGGTAAATGTAAGTTTTTCACGTGCGGCTTAATTGTCTGTCAATCGGTCAATTGACCCGTTATTGGCGCCCTGTGCGTGTGACACGTATCTGCTCAAGGGTCACCAAACCGAATTCATGGCGACATCCTGCTGAAAGATGAAGGGACATTGCCCTCTGACAGTAAGGGGGGAGGTACAGCCGTGAATAAAAAATTTACCTCATGTGTAATGAAAGATTTTTTGTCTACGCTGTTCATCAATAATGACGTTCTAGATAGTCCTGCGTGAAACAGACAAAAATTTACCGTTCAATTATGACGGCACCACGCATTTGGTATTCAATGCAACGTGAACGAGCTTTCAGCAAATTCTGAGAAGTAGTGTGGCTAGATTGCTTGCTGTCCGCCGGGCGTCAAACATTAAATTCTCACCCTCCCGGCAGCTTGACGGTTTTGAGGTACACATCAAAAGATGCGAACATTTATGGACTTACTCAACTACTCGGCATCAGTATCTCACTAGTCGCCGAATACCACATGTGAGCATATTAAAAGAAGGGAACATTTAGCTAACTACTCGCCGTCCGCCAAACGTGTGGAGCGGCCTTCAACCCATCCACTTTTTTTTATTTTATTTAATTGTTTGTTGAAGTGTAATATTCAGTTTACAATAAAAACTTTGCTATTGTTTGATGACTTAATCTAACTAACTTAATATAGGTTAAAATTATAGTTAATTAATCTTAATATAGGGAGAGGATACAAAGGAGATTTATTCAACTTTCGCAAATATCTGGAGGAAAGATTGGTGCGGGAAACTGTTATTAATTCTGGTTTTGAATCTGGGATCATTTCAGAGTATGTAGTGACTTGATGCCTTTATGAAGGATAAGTTTGTGTAAAAGTTATTAGATAGGAATGCTATTTGGTGTGTTATTTCATATATATTTAGATCGTTATGAAGTTGTTTATTACCATCGAACCATGGTGCTCTTGTAATTGATCTTAAATACTTGTTTTGAAACACTTGCAATTTGTTGACATTGGTTTCGGCGGCATTGGTCTGACCACCCAGTCTCCGTTCTTGGCGTGAGGGCCTCGAGGGGAGGAGGCGCAGACCCGCGCGAAATTTGAACTTCCGCCACCCGCTTCCGCTCCCACGCGGGCCACGCCCCCTCTCGCAGGCGGAGCACCCCTCCTCCCTCCCCTGCCCCTGGCGGGCGCCGTGCGTGCCAGCGCGCCCGTGTATTTACGCAGTTCATTGGCGCGGACGCGTTGCGTGAGCGCCTCATTATTGCCGTGCGCCGCGCGGTGCCCTGCGTCGCTTAACAGCTTTGCCGCGCGTTTACCCCGCGCCATCAATTCCCGCCGCATTGTTCGTTTGCCCGACAATGACCTTTTTTGAATTTTTTTAGTTGTCGGTTGTTTTTTTTGTTCGTTTGTGCCGTCTGGCCACGCCGCACGATGGTTTGAAACGCAATGGAGGCCGGACGTATCAAAGTAAAACTGGGTGAAACTTGTTAGCTCAAAACGTGCCTCTTATTGCAGACCGTGAATTGTACGAAATGGAGCTGATGCTGTAGAAGAAATAGCAAATTTTCTACTGTAGTATTTGTGCTACTATAGTTTCAACTATATGGTTTAGTTTCTACTATACTTCACACTACGTGATGTAATGTGAGCATTCTGATAATTATTATGATAATACTTAAAACAAAATGTGTGATCAGTGTGTTCATAAACCTTGATAAAAAAAGGATACTGCAAAAGGGGATACAATTTTTGTAATTTCATTATAATAGTATATAGTGAAATTTCTGCAAGTAACGGTTGAATATTTTAGATCTGGCAATGATCTTCGAAAATCCACAGAAAACTCGTACAAATAAAAGTTCAAACTCTTATAAAAAGGTACTTCGCCGCCTACTCGCTTGCCCACACCCGCGTTCTTACTAGTGCTCATCCTCACTTGTTCACATTCTCAATTATTCGGGTCTTCATCTGCCTGTCCGCGACCTCCCTCACCAGCGTCCTCATTAGTTTGCGTTCGCGCTTATCCTCGTCCACGTGTGTCCTCGTCCTTGATTATCCACGCCTGTCCTCGTGCAGGCTTGTTCTCGTCCACTTGTGTCCTCGTCCAGACTAGTTCTCGTCCACGTTTGTCCTCGTCTAGACTTGTTCTCGTCCACGTTTGTCCTCGACCACGCTTGATCGCGACCTCCCTTATTCGCGTCTTCACTCGTCCACGTCCTCACCTTTTCGTGTCGTCACTTACCTGCGTCCTTACCTCTCCGCGTTTTTTCTTACCTGCGTTCTCACTTATCTGCATCTCCACCTGTCGCTGTACTCACTTGCCCGCGTCTACCTGTGTCTGCGTGCACGCTTGTCGCGACCTCAGCTCCCCTCAGAGCGCGTCCTCGCCCTGCGGTGCCGCTCTCGCCCCCGTCCTCGATCCCCGGACCCTCACCGCAATCCCCATCCTCCATCGCCCGCGCCGTCCGCAGTGCACGTGCCGCGCGCGGCGCGTATTAATTACTGCGGAATTTCATTGGGGCCCGTCCGCATTCGGTACCTGTTAATGAGCAGATTTGAGAAAATTCGCCCCTGTTACCGATAGGCAATTCTGCGGGGGTTGGTAATGAGACGGCCTTTATGGAGCACGGTTGAATTTTCACGCGGATGGAAAACGTGTTTATTTCTCGCATGCGGTGCCATGAAACGAAATAGCCCCTATGCGGCAACTGTTAGCATCGAATTCCCCAGCGAATGAAAAATAAATTTAGAACGGGCGGTGTTTCTCACTCAGAGTTTATATACTTTTTTATGGCTAAAGCACATCCGGTGACTGATATATGTTCAGATGAAGTGAATATAGTATGTAACATGCCGGGTGAGGATGGTATCACACATCACATTTGTATTTGAAGTTATTTATTTTTTCAGTAACTGATGTATGGCTTTTTCAATTCAATTGTTTAAGAAATGATTGTAGAATATTGTGTGAATGTGCTTCTATTTGCAACTGGGGGAACCATTTAGTTCGAAAGAACGCCTCCTACCTATGTGTTTAGGTTTCTTCATTTCTTTTTTATTTGGAAGTTTGATAAATAAACTTCGGCTGTTTTATGAACTCTGGAGATAAATTAATTAATGGGATATTTTGTTCAAATTACACATAACTGCTAGGGAATATTTTTTCCAATCACAAAAGAAAAATTTAATCCATCTTATTTCAATTGAGTACTTAGTTTTGATTTTGAAGTTAATTTTGCATGTAGGTGTATAACATCATGGACTTGAAAAAGTAATAATACGGTACCTGGAATATCCAAATAATTCTGTAGGTACGTCTTGGACACAGTAGCATTTACATACCGCCCGTTAAATGGTGAATGAAATTTAAATTGATAGATTGTATTCACGAGTTTGTGTGTTATGTAAATTATGAAAATCATTTAAACAATGTTGAACAATTGTTGATTCAGTGAGTAATTATGTCTGTAAAAATCGACGATTATGGTAATTGCATTTTGAATTCCGTTTCTTTTAGGCATTTTATCATGTAATTTTCTGTCCCTTTATTTACAATATATTAATATGCAAAGCAATTACAAAATATTAATATAAATAATTCATTAAATTCGCAAACACATTTCACAATGACTACTACTGACCTAAAATATTGAAATGTCCATGTATTTTTCATTCCTTTCATTAGCATTTACATAATTCGGAAAAGAGATTCGATTCCAATTTCAAATCATTGAATAACAAAAACATTTTTTTCGAAAACTACATTGCACGGTACTGAACCAAACAATCGCTTTGGTAAGGGACGATATTAAGAATTGGCCAGCGACACTTGTTTCAGGTGTCGAGTGTTGTGAGGTTAAGGGCATTCTTCTTTTTGGTTTGTGTTTCATTTTCTATTTAATAGTAAGAAATACTTAAGATATTTTTTATGACTTATACTATATCATATTTGTAGGAAATAATGGATTAAACAATTTAAATTAGTTATTGTATAATTGTTAACAAATTTTTAAAAGTAGTACATAAATATAAGTCAATTATTGCAAACAATACCTTTTTTATATTGCTCTAAAGTATGAGCAGTATGAAAAATTTATGAAATACGTTTATGAGCATAATTTTATTTTCATTTTTCTTCGAATCTTATAAAATAATTCCTGGAATTGCAAGAGCATTTTAAGGAAGAATCTAGGACGCTGGAGAACACTCGGCCACACTGCAGCAGGCCCTGCCGCCACCTTTTATCTTGGATGTTCCCTTAGAGGCGAACGAGAGCGAACTGCCGCCACAGGACAAGCGCAGCCGCCGCCGCCGCCACAGGAAGGAAGAGCGCTTGCGTCGCCGCGGCCCCCGCAGACTTGGCCACGGAGCCGTGCTTGGGGGCCAAGTCCACGAGCGCTCCGTCGCCGTTCGACACCACCAGCTGCCAAGACAATGGGAACGGCTTAAAACACTGTCGCTGTTACGAGGAAAATGATGTCTATGACGAAGCAAGTGATTAAAGTAAAGCATGAGCAATCAGTAGTCAATATTATTATAAAATAAAACAGAAAATAGTCGATCTGATGGCCGAGATCGCTAAACCAGTATTGCCGTAGTGAAGATCGCGGGTTCGTGCCCCGCCTCGGGCGTGGGTGTATTTGTATATGTACGTTTGTGTGGTCCTTTCCCAATTCATTATCATCATCATTTCATCTTTCACACCCCCATGGCTGACAACCCGGAGAGATAAATAGGGGATCCAGTTAAAATGCCGATCCCCTGATAAAAGTTACATGTACCTATCATCAAGATAGTGGTACTGAGCCTCCGGTAAATGCATGATGCATGCAAAAAAAACAACAACATAAAATACACAATTAAAAGTACAAAAGAAAAATAGTAAAACATTCGGTCAATGTAAAGCATAAAATGTTCTGTTTTCTGAGATGAAGTATTAGATGCTGTATGATAATGTATTATGCAACACTACAGGCTATGTTCAGCATTTTCAGAATTGAAAGATTCATATTAAATAGCATAGCAGAAAATATACTTATGAGGCTGAAGTGTGAAAAAAATCATAAAAGCAGCCGACTTGGGTAGCCAAGATCATTCTAAACTTTCTAGGTTCGAAGCATCGCGGAATCAAATCCCGTCTCGGGCATGGACGTGGCGCCCCCGATCACCATTTAGCACCTGTGGACCCTCTTCCCCTCATTACCTTTATGTATACTCCTTACTCGGCTGTGAAGGGCTCAGTTAGGCCTAAGGGGATCCTCAGTACTAAAGAAACAGAAACCATGGCCGACAAGGGCCCAAGGGCTGACCCAGGCTGCCGAGGAGGGGAAGAGATGGGGAAGATGGAGGGTAGCGGATGCAGTTAGGAATTGGGAAGGGCGCTTCACGTCCTGGGAACCCGCGAACAAAAGGAAAATGAGGATTGTAGGATGGGGGCGTCTAAAGACTGAGAGCCAAAGCCTAAAAACGGTACAAAAACAGATAAGGGGACACTATTGAAATTGTCTATTTTTAATATTATTGGAGATCGACAGCATTCAGAACTGAAAAGGAAACATTCTCGTAGTTTATTCAAGAAAATTAATATTTCTACTTCTGAACTAAGTATATACAAGTTGTCTCTATTGGTAGAGACATTGGAACCAAATGAAGAAAGGTGACGGGAAAATATGTTGGAAGAGAGAATTCGAAAAGGGAGAAAACCCTGAGTCAATAGAATGAAATAGTACATTCAGACTCAGCTCTGAAGCCTTGTAAATCGAAAAGAATTTGAAGAAGTCTAGCAAGAGAGAAGTAGTAAAGTGTAATAATATCATTAATAATAATAAAGAAACACAAACGTACAAAAGTCCTTCAAATAAAAAACCTATAAACATTAATAAAGTGACAGGTAATTCGTACATTTGATGCTGTTAAGAAAAAGTCGTAATATCCAATGTTCTTCATTATACCTTCAAGAATTGAGATTCTTTTCATATTCAGAGTTCCTCAGATTATACCGGATCAATATGGCAGTACTAATTTTGGGATAAAATATTGAGACACAAGGTAATGAAGACTCCATACAAACGGACATGAAGAAAGCTAGAAATGTTTCTAGGATAAACCTACCGCTTAAGAGAATCAAACTCTTAATATCAGGGACTCCCGTAACATATATATCCGTCCCTAACTTCAGATCAGTTTCCATCACTATTTCAATATTTTATCTTTAGTCTAAAAAAATAAACACGGATACGCACATACGTATAACCTAATGAATAATATATCAATAAACGTATGAAATTACGGACGCGTACATAAAAAGAAACCCGAATTGAAGAACGAATGACTTGAAAGAAGAGAGGTTCTATTGGAAGAATGAATAAACAACTATATCAAGAAACGAACTAATAAAGAAACAACTCAAACGACGGATGAATAAACAAAAGAATGATGTATGAAATTAGTGAATGGGTACTTTTTTGAAAAAAAGAAAGAAGGAACTGAATGAACAAATGATGATTTAATAAGGCATCATTCATTAATAAATTAATAACCCTCAAACACTTAACGAATAAATTAATCATCACTTTTAAGTAATAATTACTAATTATTGAATTAGAATTTAATTTTTCAAAAGAATGAAGGTATAGCTACCAACTGGAGGGATTGGAAACAATCGAATGGGCAAGGAGTTGAAGAGCGCGCGCACTTCGTTTGTTACCTTGAGCGCGGGCACGTGGATGCCCAGCCAGAGCTGCAGGTCGGAGGCGTTGGTGAAGAGGTGGAAGAAGCTGGCGAGCGAGGTGTTGTAGCGCGTGGGGCTGTAGTGCATGCCCACGAGCGCGCCCGCGCACAGCAGCGCGCCGCCGTCCTGCAGCCTGGGCTGCGCCGGCGCCTCCGCGCAGAACTGCGCCGGCTGCTCCACCAGCGTGTGCGCGCGGCACTGCTCGTGCGTCAGCACCTGCGCGGGCCACGGCAGCCATTTCGGCTGACTATCCATTTCGTGTTTCAGGCTAAGGTCATTACTCACGTATGTGTCGTGCATGTTTCCCCCTCGTGAGTTGGCGGTGATTATTTCGTGTTTCCGGCGCGTCAACGGCTAAGGTCATTAGTCCCGTATGTGTAGTGCATGTTTCCCCCTCGTGAGTTGGCGGTGATTATTTCGTGTTTCCGGCGCGTCAACGGCTAAGGTTATTAGTCCCGTATGTGTGGTGCATGTTTCCCCCTCGTGTAGTGGCGGTGATCGTCTCCCCCTGGATGATGAGATACGGCGCCGACCTACCTGTCACCTAGTGGGGTTTTCCCCCAACCAGGTATCTCCCACCAAAGGGGCACCGCCTCTGCCGGGACTAGCTCTAAGCTCTCGGCTGGTATGGTAGTGTAAAGCGTGTAAGTGTGCGTAGGTAAAGGATGAGGATAGGACAAAGAAGACGCAGGAAAGATCGCGCGCGGTCCGTGGCCCGTTTGTTACGGTACTGCTCTGGCATTCGCCTGGTGTCGTTAGGAGAAACTACGGAAAACTACCGATCAGAGCAGTCGCTCGCTAGATTTCTCCTCCAGACAATAGCTCAATTTGACCCAGTTCTCTAGCTAGTGTCGAAAATCCTGTCACCGTCGGGATTCGAACCTAGAACCTCCCGGTGAGGGGCACTGCAGTGACGTCAGTCGATGTCGTGAGACACCTCTACCGGTGCAGAAAATTTAGTCGGCAGCTGGGTCGATTTAGCCGCTATCTAGAGGAGAATTCTAGCGGCCGGCTAGTCGAGTCGGCAGTTTTCCGTGGTATCTCTGATCAATTCCATGCGAATGTCAGAGCATCATCTTAATAAACTGGCCACAAACCACGCGCGATCTTCCGTTTCTAATCTTTCATCCCTCCTCTCGTCTTGCACACATCCCTGCATGCACCACACTACAGCGTATGACAAGAGAGCAATCGGCAGGTTAGAGCTTGTTCGGCGTGGGGCCGTGCCTTACTGGGGGGAGATAGCTGGAAGAGAAACTCTGCTAGCGAAAATGGAAGAGGACGTCGGATATCGCATTCCAAAGGGAAGGAACACGACAAAGAGCATACTCTGCGCTTACGGGACTAAAGGCTGCAGAAGTTGACGAGACCGGAAACGCTAAACATTCACTCACTCGAAATTCCCCTTGTGTATGACTAGAAATCACTCATTTTCCGGCTCGATACAAGAGTTTTTGCTCGGCGTGTCGTAAACGATATGATGCTCGTTTAAAGGCCGCCACCCGGTGCCCTGTATCATTCGAAGTGGTAAATGGGGTTTTTGCACAACATTTTAAAACTACTATGAATAGATGTGTTTCTCACGAGTAATGTTAGAGATTGCTACTAATGCTAATTTCACATGAGAGTACATTTTATGGATTCCCGTTTGTTCGACTAGAGCTGCCCAACAAAATCATGGCGTATCATGGAAATATAGGGTTTTAAGTACAATATGTCTCCACTAATTGTCATCATATAGGTTGTATTTATTACGTGATTGCATCCTCAGGTATACTTTATTTCCAAGTCACTTTTCAGTAATTTTTTGGTAAAATTCATGGTCTTGGTAATGTAAATTACAAATTCAACCAGTTCTTCGTATTGTTTAATTATGTAAAAGAACCTTTTACAAGTATTGTATAAAATGCAAACTGATCAAAAGGTTTTACATGATTTTTTTCTTCTTATTCATTTATTCGCTTATTTATTGCGTGCTTTTGCTGGAAGACGACAATTACCATAGTTTCTCACCCGTGTATTTGACTCAGGTTTCCCCTGGGTCGGGTCCAGGGGACGTCCTTCGAACAGGCGCCCCCGTAACCGCCTGGGTGTGATTCTCACTTTTCCCGCCAAATGACATTGTAAGTTAACTAGGTCCGAGCTTTATGGTTGGGAGAACGTGCAATCTCTTTAGAACGTAAAATTGCAGGAGATATTTAATTTTGCTTCGAATCTTCCATGATATTTTTATGAGCCATACGTATGTCATGGGATTTGTGGCCTTTAGAATATCTACGCGCCCCAGGAGTGATCGAACCAGCGAACTGAGGATTCAGAGGCCAACACGCTAACCGTTCACCCGACGCGCAAACTGTATTTTTTGTTCTTTGACATATTTCATAGATAATTTTCTTGTTCATTAGTGAACTTACTCAAAAGGAGATTTTCTTGTAAAAACGTAGCATCAGATAGTAAAAATAAATTCGCATGCACATGATGCTGCCGGAGAGAGCACTCACCACTCCGATAGTCGTCTTGATGGGTTCGGTGAAGTTGGCTAAGTCGGCAGCTGTTTCATGCGCGCTCTGCTTCTGCACCTTCCAGCCTTCAATGCTGCACCTTAGCGGCCTTGTACACAAATCATTTCGTGAGAAATAAAGAAGGAAAGCAAACGGTAAATTATTAAGATTCAAATTTTAACTATTTAATAAAATTTATAAAATTGAATTTACCAAACAAATTATGAATAAGGTGCGAACATTATGGATACATATCTTTTCACTTTCTCTCCATTACGAATGAAAGGAGAAGTATTGTAATCGGGCACCGAAAAATAGAGAATTTTCGTTAAAAATAACTCGTATTGTCGAACCCTGGTAAAAAAATGGATCAATCCTATACTATATATAATAAATTACCTCCTCTAACACGTGGTGTAGCCAGAATTCATGTTTTGTGAACCCTTCATATCGAAAAGTTGATTACTGTAATGTCTGTCTGTCTGTCCGTCCATTAATATGTCTATGGTCAATACTAGCGCTTAAACCGTTCAGCCTACTTTCTCCAAAATTGATATTCCTCTATCAATCTCAAGACTTGGGGAGTTTCAAAGAGATATTTTGATTTTTGAAGGTACTTTTCATGATGGTTTTTTTAGAACATTTACAAAATGTTGTCAAAAATGGCTGCACACTTTGTGTATGTTCACTCACATCCCTTGTTTTTAGTAAATTGCCAAAGTGCAAGTTTTTTCGGTGTCTTCGTAGAACTACAGTATTGAAGATAGAGTTTTGCATTAATGAATTCAGAACAAGGAACGCCTAAAAGAACAGCGCAAAGCAGGTCTCATTTTCGATAAATTCTCTAAATTTTCGATAAATATTCGATCAATTCTCTAAAAATTGCAAAGGAGGATTATTAGGAAAAGTGCGAGAAAGTATGTTCTGCTGTAGCACCTCTAGTTTGAATTAGTATCTCTTGACTGCCAAACGATAACGATTGTTTCTAATTTCCTTGGTTGCTGCCAAGGTAGATAGATATATCTACCAATTCCGTCTCAGATATATCTGCCGCCGTCTCAGATATATCTATCTAATTTTTTGGCTGGTTCTTGACTGAACAAATGATCTGTCCAGTACAGGAATTGTCAGATTTAATTTTTCCATGTCGCTTCAGAGGCATCGATAATCTGACTCTGGTTAAAGTCATCTGGTGTGTAACTTCGTTAGATAAAATATTAGACTATATGTTCATTGCCAAAATGTTATCATATTCAGCCGCTTTAGATGCTCTAGAACAGTAGTGTCAGTTGCGCGGGAGTATGGAAGCAGCTGTTTTCCGTGAAGCAACTCCAGCTCAGAGAATCGGGACCCTCCGATCTATTGAACCCCGCGAGCTACTAGTAGTCCGCGATCAACGAGCTACAATATACTACATAGAGTGGCTGTTCGTATAGTTTCAGCGCTCTTGGTGGAGGCTCGCAGAACTAACTAAAACTAGCAGAGGACGCTGCTTTGTCTGCAAAAAACATGGCTTCAATTTGTTGCAAAGATAGAGGCGCTTCAGCCACTCTATGTAGTGTATTCTAGCTTGTTGATCGCGATAATTCTTTGGTAGTCACCGATCTAGAACATTTATTCTGAGACAGCGTGCATAGCAGAACAGCATTACGAAAATAGTGGAACTAAAGCAGAACATCCATTCTCATCAGAACTTTCACGAAAAATTACGCGAAAAGTACTGAAATTTTCGAAAAATTGTACGTGACTTTATTTCAAAATCTACTTTTAAGGAATCGGTTTCATAAAGTGATAAAACCTCAATATGTAATAATTTAGTTGTAAGAACTCTCCGAAAAATGCTTAAACTCTTACAATTTTCGAAAAATCAGGATATTCAATAACCATGTGACCAGCACCATTCTCTTACACGTCCTTCACACTATCCAACACAAAATTTAATAAAAACGATGGAGCAATTTTCTTTTAAAAAAATGGAAACTGTCCCAGGGGTTTCACATAATATACCACCACCAAAAAAATTAAATTATCAGTTTCAAATTCAAGGGGCCGTGACATCAGCCAGATCGATTGGGAAATAACAATTTTGAAGAAAATCCGCTGAACGGTTTAGCCGCTAGTGTTGTTTACGGACGGACACAAGTTTTGCCGTCATTCGATTTTCCGGTATCAAGAACCTAGGAAAAATTGATTCTGGTTACACCACGTGTTCGTGGATTTTTTTCTATATCTACAAATAGGATTCATCCACATTTTCGTCACCAGGACCCTGCAATAAGAGTTTTACATAACTTTGTGTCTGCTCCGCGGCGAGGAAGTGAGCCGGCAACGCTCTTTACCTGCGCGCGTCGTCGAGGGCGCCGGCGAGCACGGGCGCGGGCCGCAGCGCGGCGCCCAGCGCGAAGGGCCGGTCGACGCGCGCCAGCGCCAGCCCGGGGAACTCGAGCGCGCCGGCGTCGGCCTGGTTGGCGTGGCGCGCCACCTGCACCACGCG